CTCCGCCTCATGTTAAAACAGAACATGAACTTAAAATGTATTATCTTGACAACACAGTTACAAATGCCTGGAGTTAATGTAAACACTTGGATAAAAGTTGGGAGTGCAGAGCAAAGCCAGTCAGTACAAACCTTATGTCCCTAGCTAAAAGCCCAATGCAGGTGCAGCTTTGGAGATTCACAAAACCAAAGCAGATGCTGCCAGTAATGATGACCTTACTGCCTAATACAGAGCTTTGTGCAGACTGAAAACATTAGTGGTTTGTTTCATTGAGCTGCATGCCATAACCACAATAGTAGTGGGTGGGGTATGTGTAGGGTTCACAGAGAATAATGAAACCCAGCAGTGGAGCTAGAGTACTTGTTCACACAGGCAAGGTCCTGGGTTCAATCCTCAGCACCAAAAGAAAAATAAACAAACTATTCCTGCTGTGGGTTCAATGGCTGAATCAGTACTGATGCTCCACATGTCTGTGTTGTGAAATCTCCTAAGTGCCAGAGATTACCCTGATCTAGAAGACTGATGTGTAGAGAATCGCCCATACCCTCAGGCCCCTGCAATGCTAATGACCGCTTGAACAAAAAAAGTTCTCCATTACTGGTGATTTTTCTAACTAGAGCCTCTGGAAATGAAGGACAAGCTCTGTACTAGGTTGTGACTCTTGCTAAGGTCTGACTCCTTTGTACTGTAGTGCACGAAGAGGCATCCCGTGTTCTGGACAGACTTCTTTGAACTACTTCAGTGCCTTTAGGCCCATACTAATGCTTTTCAGGTTATGGAATTGCTATTCTAGGCAACTGGTTATCTCCCGTCACAACAGTAGGGCCTGTTATGCCTTGCGTCTAGATGGCCTCCCAAAGCCCCATGTGCTCCTAGGTTGGAGTTTGGGGAGGTGGCTGGATCTAGGGTGTGTGGTGCTGAGATTAAATTGTAGAATGCTAGGATTAAGGATGTGTGGTTACTAAATTATTCCATTGATTGATCTAACATAGTTCTGGGTGTGGAAAATGGCAAGGCCCACCTTGAGTATGGGATGTACCATCTGAAAGGCGGGTAGAAGAAATACAAGGAAGTGGCTGCTGCTGCTGCTTGCTGCTCCGCTTTCTCCTGCCTGCTTTCCATGGACTGTTTCTCCTCTGCGATGCCCTCTGCTATGCCATGCAGCCAGCTGACTACAGATTGAAACCACTCCAAGCTGTGAGCTGAAATACCCCTTTCCGCATTAACTTTGGATGATGGTTACTTCGTCTCAGCAAGAAAAATTAACAAAGACAGAACTCATGAAATTACTTACCCTTGTGCTTTCTTTTCTGACCAATTTTTAGTCTGACAATGGTATACCTTGTAGCATAAAAGCCACTCAACAATAAAATGTTACTCCAAGCTGGGTGTGGTGGTGCATGCCAGTAATCCCAGCTTGAAGAAGGCTGAGGCAGGGCTGGCAAGATAGCTCACTGGACTAAGCACCTGCTTGGCAAGCTCAGGGACCAGGGTTTGATCTGCAGTCCCACATGCCACACTGGCCCCGCCCCCTGGGATGTGCTGAGCCCACAACCGAGTCCGGGTGTGGTGGCGCACACCTATAATCCCAGTACTGGGGAGGCTGAAAGCAGGAGGATCACGACGAGTCTGAGCTGCATCATGAGACCCTGTACCAAATACACAAATGGAAAAATAAATAAATAAAGGTCTGAGGCAGGAGGATTGTTGCAAGTTCAAGACCATCCTGCGCTAAAAGTGAGCCCAAGGTCAGCCTAAAATGCACAGAACGACCCTGTCTCAGAAAGACAAAAAGAAAAAAAAAAAAAAAAAGCAATGTCAGTCAAGGTGTTAAACGAAGCATTCTTGCTCCTTAACAACCACTGCCATCTGGTACTGCTGAGCACTAGAATGGTGTTCTCAAAACACTGTCTACCTTCCCTATCAGCAGCTGGTCCGCACAGGCATTAGCAGAAGCAGCTTGGTCCCTCAGTGCAACTGTTCTCAACTGCTTCCTGAATAATCATCAAAATATTATGGGGTGGGAATCATAAAGTCCCTTTTTAAATTCAGGACTCTACCATGAGCATTCTTGATTCTAATATAGCTTTTTGCTTCTCATAGGACCCCAGGCCAGTATGCTTGCTCTATGTCCCTGGACAACCAGGCACAAGAATTCTAGGGGCCATGGGTAGAGCTCAGTGGCGAAGAGTGCTCGGCAAGAGCAAGGCCCTGAGTTCAGAGCCCCAATATCACAAGGCAGGGTAGGATTCTAAAGGAGCTGAACTTACTTTATTTTGGCCACTTGAGTCCCATGTTGGGCTATACCACATGCATAGTAACCCCCTGATGGAGCTCACTGCTCACCAAGTCTTCCCATGATGGCCAAAGCATGGAGTGAGACAGTTGTCTGGACCTTGTCTATAAAGGAATCTCTATTCGACAAAAGGTCTAGGTGCAAATAGGGAATAAATTGGAAAAAGGTGAAGTTACTGTTACTGGAATAAGATGCTGTCTTCCTGGTGCTGGAGGGAGAGCAGCAATCCAGCTATCAGAGAGAGACAAGCTCAGACCCGTATGACCAGGGGAGAGGGGGCATTATTTGGTCTCTCAGCCCGTTCCCAGGAGAGTGCATCAGGAAGGAAAAGCTGTACCATGCTGTTAGAGTCAACTTAAGTCTGACTGACTGCCAGGCAGCTCTGACCATAGTTTGCTCTTGGAGTGCTGAGGATCGAATGTTGGGCTTGGAGCCTGCTAGACCAGCACCATCTCGCGGATCTTCACCTCCCCCGTGTCCACAGTCTGAAGGTTATCCGCCCCCCCCCCCCCCCCCGCCCAGCGTTACTGCAGAATCTTTTGGAAAACAGCAGAGAGTTATTGTGCCTCCCACACACAGCACCTCTGACGTTCTTCCCACACTGTTCTTGGTCACTGAGTAGGGTGACCAAATACTGTTATTCCACAGGATGAGGGAATGCCATCCACAAGTAGATACCATCAACTGTAGCATGACCAAACTCACTGCCCTCAAGCAGGCCCTCCAGAAATAAGCACTGGAGACAAAGACTGAACTTAGCTGAGCACCCTAGGCCTGCCAGCAAAACTTATTTTAGGTCACAATGCTAGTTTTAAGTGAACAGTCTCTACATATTGGCAGCTAATATACTCCTTAAGTAAACACAAATTCCTGGGTTCTACATTTGCTTAGAAAATTCATTAAAAGAGAAAATAATCAGCTAACTTGCATTGCGAAGAAAATCCATCATGAATTACATGGTGTAGTACAGCTAAAAGCCAAAAGCCTGGGTGCAAGTTTATCACAGCGCTTGGCTTTCATTCTACTCCAATACTGTGCTGTGTATGTTTAACAACTGGCTCTCTGGGAGCTGGAGGGGAAAAAAGCCCTAACTGGTAGCAGTTGCTACTGCCCATGGTATAAGCGCTTCCATCAGGATCAATTTCTAAGTGCCACTGGGATGCCAGCCGCCTTGCAAACTTCCTAAAATTTTAACAAGACACTCTCTCAAGCCAGCTGTGGTAGCTAGCACACCACAGCTACTTTAATTTATGGTTCACTCCTCTAGATTACAAGTTTCCTAAGTGGAGGGTCTACACATTATCTGGAATAATGTTTGATGTATTATGGGTTTCAACAAAGGAAAGAATTAATTTTACAAGCCAAGAGTCACTTAGGAAATCACAGTTTATTTGTTCGGGGTTTTATTTTTTTACTATGAAATTAAATCTGGGCTCTAATGGTGTTTGTAAGTAGGATCACAAGTCTGCATCTTGTACAGCAATTAACCACTAGGAAGAATGTATGCAGTGTATTATTTGTTGAAACTGTACTTTCGATTTGATTTGAAACTGTCTCATTGCTATATGTTTATCAATAAAACTTTGAAAAGAAAAAAAAAATCTGGGCATCCAACAATATCAGACTCAAATAATCAAAAATTATACTATAACTGCACTAAACTCACATTTTATTACCCTCTCAATAAAAAGCTCCTTAAGGAGAATGAGCACTGCACTGTGCATATTAAAAGTTAACTATTTAAAAGGTATTTCAGCATTAAAAAATTATGAGTCATTTCCTCTTTGCTTAATTTAATTTTATCATAAGGAATGTGCCTGGTGGTCTATTCCGATAATCAACAGCTATTAAGATCATCATATTTTCTATAATTGCATTTAAAATTAAGAATTTTAAGAAGCAAAGCTCTATGTGTTGCATCAGGTTCTCTTATTCATGTCACTATTGTGTAAGTTTGCTCCAGTATCCTGTGCCTGAGGTATCTAGATTTGCCTGCAAGGGGCTTGGGGATGAGGCTCAGTGGTACAGCACATGCCCAGCACATGTGAAACCCTGGGAGCATGATGTAATTTAATTATTCACAATACTGGCTCTCAGACTTGTAGATCAGAAACATCTGGAATCCAGGCTAAAATTGCAGGGCTCTGTCCCAGAGCTCCAAATTCAGACAATCTGTACTAGGCTTGAGGAAAACAAAAAAACAAAAAACAAAAAACAAAACAACAACAAAAAATATATATATATTTATATATAAAATTTGGTACAGGGTCTCAATGCACAGCTGGAACTCACAGTGATCTTCCCGTCTCAGCCTCCCCAGCGCAAGGATTACAGGCGAGTACCACCACAGCTGGTTCCGGGGCTGGCACAGCATGTGGTACCAGGAATCAAACCCGGGTCCTTGCACTTGCCAGGCAGGCTCTTAGACCACCACCGTATCTCTCCAGCTGCAATGTGCATTTCTAACAAGTTCCCAAGTAGCTGATGGTGGCAAACGAACCACATCTGACAACCACTGATCTACACCCCAGAGGTCAGCAAGATTTCACTAACAGCCAAAGGATAAATTTTCTGTTGCTAGTACTGAACTCTGCACATGTAGAGGAAAAAAATAGCCCCAGGTAATACTTCAAAGGGACATGAAAATGTTTCAACTAAACTTTACTTAGAAAAATAAGTGAAAGGCTAGACTTGGCCTACGGACCATAGTTGGCTGACTCCTGATCTACACCAACCTGCTGGGATTTGTCAGCCCACATACACACCACAAACTCTGCTCTACCACTGGCCTTGTCATAGTGCCTGAAGGCCGCCAGCAAAGTGTCAAAGTTTTGATAATTAAATTTCTTCAAGTGATGTCGAACTGCGGCAATCAGGGCCCGCTGTCTGTCCTTCCCTCGAAGATATGTCCCAGGGAGCCTATTATAGATGAGATCATCAACTCCTGTGGAAGACAGGAAAAGTTTTTCATGTGAATTTAAAGTCTCAATATTGTGTTTGCTTTGGCAGCACATATACTAAAATTGGAATGATACAGAAAAGTCTTAATATTTTTCTCAGAGAGAGAACAGTGTTTGTGAATGGTCTAATTCTAATGCCATTACAAATCCTTGTGTATAAAAATACATAAATTGGTGTTTCTATTCTATATGATGTCTCTACTCAAGAAAAAAGCCTAGGGGCTAGGGACATAGCTCAGGGGTCTAAGCACCTGCCTGGCAAGTGCCAGGACTCAGGTTTGATCCCTGGTACTGCAAGCCATTCCATGCTGGCCCCACAATGAGCCAGCTACCAAAACCAGGCATGGCAGCACAAGCCTATAATCCCAGCACTGGGCAGGCTGATCGCTACAAGTCTGAGCTGTGTAGCAAGGCACTGTACCACATAAATAAAGATTTTTTTTAAAAAGAAAGGAAAAGAAAAAAGCCTAGATACATGAAGTCGTTGGGGGCATCATCCACCTCGCCCAGCTATCATGCCCCCAACCAGTGATGTCCTTGCCTCGCTGCCTCTGGCCCACATCTGTCCACACTGCTAAGGATCTGAAAGCTGAGGCTGATTTCCAGTGAGGGCCATTAGAGCTCCTGGAGTTGGCTGAGCTTATGGGATCCCTTGTAAAAACAATAAACTTAAATTCTCTATCCTTACACTTTGCAGCTGTCCTTCAGTCTGCATGCCCAATTCCTGCTTCTCAGCCCTGCCTGCTCCAATCCTGCCAGTGTCCCTGGAAGGCTGCCCCTTCCACTAGCTAGGAGTGAGTCCCAACCCACACCCCAAATAGAGCCACCCAACTAGATTTGCTGCTTCAGCTGCGGTGGCTGCTGGGTACAGTGCAGGAGGCTTTCTGCCTCTGTTCCTTTTCTCCTGCCTTCCCTGTTCTCTTCTGCCAAAAACTCTTCCACTTCCTTGGAGCAAGATCATTCTGGCACAGCTGTCTGTGGCAAACTGGGTAGAGTGACTTACATGGCAACACTGCACATGGTTCAAATACTTCCACCTCCTCTGTGGAAGGCATACTATTAGCCTTTCAAGGTGGTTCTCCCCTGCCTCTGTGACAGGCTTCCATTCTGTTGTGCAGATTCTCCAACTTGCAGTCCTTCCGCCTCAGCCTCCTGAGTGCAGGGGATTACAGGTGTGCACCACCACATTAGCAGGGTCTCTCTTAAGAGGTACTCTTAGTGCCTGTGAACTGCTTTTTTACTATAAAATCCAGAGCAAATTATCCATGTGCCGATTAAACTCTTGCAAGGAAAGACCCTCAAGATTAGGATAATTTTTTGGTTTTTGATGGTTTCACTGATGGTTCAGTGTGGTCTTGAGTTCACTGGATAGCCCAGGTTGCCAATTCATGGCATCCTCCTGCCTCGGCATCCCAAGTGCTGGGGTCACAGGTGTGACCACTACCTCCGGCCTACAGCAGTATTTCCCAGCATGCTCCTTGACCACGCCCTCATGCCTTGGAGCCAGCCAACTATAGATTAACACTCCTACAGATGAAGAGGGCAAAGACATCTCCTCCTGGGTCATCCAGGTAGCTCAGCAGACTGAAGCGCCTGTTTAGGCAGAGCACAGGGACCACGGTTCAATCTCTAGGGTACTGTGCTGGCCCCGCCCCTGCGGGGCACAATGGCGATTGAGACTAGGTGTGGTGGTGCACACCTGTAATCCCAGCACTCGGGAGGCTGAAAATAGAAGGATTGCTGAGTCTGATCTGTGTAGTGAGACCCTGTAGACCCTCTACTAAATAGATTGGGGGGGGAACCCTCCTGGGCCAGGGAGATAGCTCAGTAAAATAAGCACCTGCCTGGCAAGCGCAAGGTCCTGAGTTCAATCCCCAGTACTGAAAAAAAAAAAAAAAATCTCTTCCTTTAAATTATAGGTATTAGGTACAGTAGTCCCTCAGTTTATGAACTTAATTATTTTTACAATGTTGGAAAAGATAACTGCATTTTGTTTGGGTGGGGAAATAGCCACACTTGTGTTTGTCACCCAATGTGGAGAAGTTTTTGAATGGAAGCAAAATTTTGTCAAATGCTTTTGAGAACCATATTATTTATGAATAGAAGTATTTATAAATTTACATTACTGTACTATGTCTCAGTGGGAAGAACAAATTTAAATAAAGCCTTAACTATGCTTATGATACTCACTATAAGGACTTTCTACTTATTTCAAGTGTAACATGAAAAAAGGACCTTTCTTGAATTGAATGTTTTCCTCAAGAATGTTAATGCAACCTTTTAAGCTTTAAAATTAGAAGCCTCAGCCAGATGTAGTAGCACATAGTTATAATCCCACCACTTCAGAGGTTGAAGCAGAAGGATCACTGTGAGTTCGAGGCCAGCCTGGGCTACAAAATGAGTCCAAGGCCAGTCTGAATTGCACAGCAAAACCCTGTCTCAAAAAGACAAATGATAGGGGCTGGTGAGATGGCTCAGTAGGATAAGCGCTTGACTGGCAAACGCAAGGATCTGAGTTCAATCCCCGGGTCCACAAAAAAAAAAAGAAAAAGACAAATGATAATAGTGATGATGATAATGATGATGACAATGATGATGAGGATGATGATAGAAGCCTCAGAAGGCAGAGGCAGGAAAGTTGCTACAATTTGGAGGACAAGCCTGAAGTACATAGTGAGACCCTGTCTCAAAAACGAAGAGTGGTGGTGCACACCTGTAACCTGAGCACTCAGGAAGCTGAGGCATGAGGCCAGGGAGATGGCTCAGTGGAATAAGCGCTTGCCTTGCAAGTGCAGGGGCCTGAGTCCAATCCCTGGTTCTGGAAAAAAAAAAAAGAAGAAGAAGAAGAAGCTGAGACAGGAAGATCACCACAAATCCAAGGCCAGCCTAAGCTCCATAGTGAGTTCATGACCTGCCTTGACTACTAGTAAGATCCTATCTCAAAAGAACTAAAACAAAAGCAAAAAATAAATTAATATTAGAAGCCTTGAAAGGAGATAGTGAATAATTTTATTGGGATTTTGACAAGGTTTGTTCATTGGCTAGTTTATAAAGAGAAATTTTATACATTTACCATATTCTTCAGGAGAGAGACAAGCTCCAAATGTGTGGCCTGGAGGAACAGTCATCGTTTCTGCAATGCTAACAAAGGAAATAAGTCCTTTAGTCCAAATTAAAAAAAAAAAAAAAACTTCCACCACTTAGCATTCCTGGAATTTAAAATATCGTCATACGTTCTCAGCCTACACTTTCTCCTATCACAATCTATGAAGATCAAATCTCTATTCATTAAGAGAATGCAGCTGTATATCTATCCTATTTTGAATATACAGATACAAAATGGTCATTCATTTGTATCCCCCTTTTTTGTTTAGTTTTGTCATAAAACGGTATTCCACTGTCATTTAAATATTGTAGGTGCGTGAATTCAGCAAAAGAGAGATTTGTTCTAATAGTGTCTGTGGACAGAATATCATGTCTGCATCTTGTACAGTGAATAACCACTAAGACAACAATATGCAATGTATTAATTATTGAAACTGTACTAGTAATCCGTTTTGAAACTGTCTCATTGCTAACTGTTTCTCAATAAAATTATTTTTTAAAAAATCTATAGCAATCAAACAAAAGTTCTCCAAAAGATCTATTTTCTCATCATCTATTTGCATTATTAACAACGATAAATGCTTTCACTGCTTTTCACTGCACTAGATTCAAAAAAAAAAAAAAAAAAAAAAAGAAGAAAGAAAATTACTAAACTAGAGGGGGAGTAAAGGAGATAGCACAGCAGCATTAGCACCTGCCTGGCAAACACAAGGTCCTGAGTTTGATCCCTGGTACCAATAAATAAATAAACAAATAGAGGGTGAGACAGTGAGACAAAGGGAAGACAGAGAAAAATGTAAGTACAGTGAGTTAAATTCCTGGTATCTCAGAAAAGAAATTAAAAAAGAAAAAGTTTTATGCCACGCCTCCTCCTTTTTCAGATCCCTCTCTGTCTTGGACAACTGATCATTTTCCAGGGGGCCTGCCAGTTAGCTCAGTTGTTTAATAAGAGTCTGTTTATGCAAATGCAGTCAGGCACAGGATACAGGGGTTCGATCCCCAGATCCACCCTTAAGGCAGCCTGAGCCAGCCAGAAAAAGAAAAAAAAATCCTTCTGATCATTTTCCTGGAACCCCAAATACTATAAAGACTAACATTATTCCACAGAAGTATAAAAATGATTTCCTTATTTAATAGAATCTAATACAACACACAACATTTAGCACAAGAAAATGTCTTTAACTTCAGCACAAAGGCTCTAAACAACATGCAGTTAAGTCTTTCACTTACGGATCTAAAACTCTTCCAAGTTTATGTTGAAATTTTTCTTTAAAATCATCAACTCTCTTGGATACAATTTTAGCTCCTTTTTTCCTAAAAAACATTAGATAATTATCAGTTGTTTCTATTACCTGAAGAATTCTTGGTTGCCAACTATACACGTGGTAAGGAGCATTACTGAATAACTAGGTTTTGATCAAACAAATCAAACTTCTAAGAAATGCAGTGCTAAAAAGAAAGATTTATGTATTCATTTTTCTAGCATTTATAACTATAATAAAAGCAAATTTTGGTTAAATGATAAAACAAGCAGCCAGGGAAATAGCTCAGCAGCATAACGCCTTCCTGGCAAATACGAGGTCCTGAGTTCAATCCCAGCTACCAAAAAAAAAAAAAGGAACAAACTTTAAAAATATTTTCTAGGGGCTGGAGAGATGGCTCAGTGGTCTAAAGCACCTACTTAGAACAAGCTTGACAAAGCACAGGGACCGCAGTTCGATCCCCCAGCACCACATGCCAGCCAGCCCCGCCCCCTGGTGGGCTGAGCTGGCCACACATACACACAGACACACACACACTAAATAAATGTAAAAAAAATTTAAAAATATATATCTTCTAGGGCCACAGAGACAGTGCATTGGTCTAAATACCTCCTGCATAGGCAAGCTCAAGGACCCAGGTTTGATCCCTGATACCACATGCCGCACCAGCCACCAAGACCTGGCATGGTGGCACACGCCTATAATCCCAGGGCTGGGGAGGCTGAAACAGGAGGATCACTATGAGTGTGAACTGTGTAGTGAGACCTGCACCAAATACACAAAAATATCTTCTACAAGGCTGAGGAGATAGTTCGGTGGTCTAAGTGCCTGCCTGACAAGCTCAAGGGGTCAAGTTCAATTCCCCAGTACCACACGCCACGTCTGCCCCAAAACCTGGTGTGGTAGCACACAGCTGTAATCCCAGCCCTGAGGAGGCTGAGACAGGAGGATCACCATGACTCAAAAAATAATAATTATTATTATTGCTGGTGAATAATATGAATTAAAATGCATAAAAATGCTCATGACCTTTTATCCACAACTGGGAAGCAACAGTAGTAGACAATCCACATAACAATTTAAATTCAAAGACCTAGTACAGTATCATGCACCTGTGATCCCAGTCGCTCAGGAGGCTGCAACAGGAAAAACCCTTGAGTCCAGGAATTTGGGGCCAACCTGAGCGATACAGTGAGAATCTATCTCCTTAAAAAATGCAGAAAGTTTCATGTATAAAAACATTTTTAGGCATACTGACCATCATGGCAAAAAGTAAATCAAAATATTCAATCATGGATGGTGATCATTTTTTGTAACATCTAATAAAAATACACTCTGCACACCACCTGTGTGTGTGTGTGTGCGTGCGTGCATGCACACACGCACACATGGGGGGCAGAGATGAACCTAGGGCCTTATTCCTGCTGAAGGAGGATTCTACCGCTGCTACATTCTTAATATTTTATTTTGGAACAAGCTTTCACTAAATGGTGCAGGCTGGCCTCAAACTTGTCCTCTTCCTGCCTCAGACTCCCTCGTAGCTGGGATTAGAGGTTTGTGTCACAATGCCTGGCTCTCTGTCTGTATTTTGGTCTCTGGTTACAAAGAATGAACAGCAAGATGTAATTATTGTATGTTAAGTGAAAAATCAGGATAGAAAATGGGACTGCGTTCTGGCAAAGACTATGGAAAATCTACATAGGAAGCCACACCAGAAAGAAATACACACATTAAAACAGCATAATGGTTAAATTAAGGTGACAGAATTACAGGTGGTTTTATTTTGCCAATTTCCTGTAATGTTTCATTCACACCATTGTGATTAAATGAATAAAATCTCCTTTGAAACTGTAAAATTACACTCCTATTTAATGACATTAAAATTAACACATTATCTATTGTTTTTCCAAGATGAAAAACAAAAAACATTCAATTCTTAAACTCCATTTGCTTTTAACACTACTTCCTATAATATTAAATATTGAGCTGAATAAATTTCTGGAGTAGAGTGACACTGTGTGGAGAAACAAAAGAAGAAAGATGTCTTAGATTTCTAGATGAGCCACAAAGCCTTGTGGGCTTGTAGAGAGCCCATGCCGCGAATCGCGGCTTCAGAACCAAAACTCCTAGG